GCCGGCGCTGATGGAGCCCACAGCATCTCCCAAGGCTGGTGGTTCCTCAACCTCACCCACAAAGCGGGGCTGCTTGCCGCCCTCTGCCCCTGCCGGTGTCTGCACTGCTTCTGCCTGGCTTAGAGTCACTCATTTCATGGGAGAGGGCAGGGTGTCGGGCAGGGTGCAGGCAATGACCCTGCATGGGCACAGCACCCTTTCTTCTGCTCCTGCCTTTGCTGCCTCTCCAAGGCTCCAGTTGGGACTGGGACGGTGCTTTGATGCTCCCCAGATCCAGCTGCCTGGCACATCTCGGGAGGTGGCCGGGGGGGTAGGTCAGGGCAGGCTTGGCTGGGGATGATGGGGCCCAACAGAGAGGAGCGGGGGTGAGCTGGGTGCTGATGTGGGGCAGGAGCGTGGCTGGGATGTCCCCACACCCCACCTCTCTGCAGCTTGGCAGGGGCACAGGGACACGGGCTGTGGGGGTTGGGAGCAGCAATGGGTCTGCCCCAGGGGTCGGAGGGTCTGGCTGGTTGCACGACCACCCGGCTGGGGCTATGACAGCTCTCCCCAGCACCCAGCCCTCTTCTCCCCGGCGTGGCTGCCTGCCAGCAGGAGCCTGTTCTGCCAGGGCACGCTCTCCCCGTGCAGCACGCAGAGCCACCCCGCAGCAGCGCGCCCACCCATGGGGACAAAGGGAAGCTCTGTCTGTGCCCAGCATTAAAATATTTGGCACAGCCTGAGCATGGCAAACAGCTCCAGAGACTTCTGTTTTGACTCCAGCAAGCGCTGCTAATGGCGGGGCGACCCCCAGTCGCAGCACGGCCTGGGGATGGGTGGGTTTGGAGCAGCCCTGCGGAGGACTGGGGGATACTGGTGGGTGGCAGATGGGACATGAGCTGGCCATTTCCTGGGCTGCATCAGTGGTTGAGGAGGGGATGCTCCCTCTCTGCCCTGCTCCGGTGGGACCCCCCTGGGGCACTGCGTCCAGCTCTGGGGTCCCCGGCACAAGGCAGACATGGAGCTGTGAGAGCGGGGCCAGAGAAGGCCACCAAAACGGTCTGAGGGCTGGAACAGCTCTGCGATGGCTGAGCGAG